GCAGCCCGGCGGAATTATCTCGGCCTCCTTTGACCGAGCTACTTAACGAGCCCAATAGTGCCACTCGCCGAGCTCCATCACAACCGAGTTCAGTAGCATTCCAGTACGGCCGAGCTCCAAACAGGTTAGGCCTGTCCAAGGGAGACCTTTCTGCCAAGCTACATGCGAAACCAATAAGCCCGGGTTGACAGACGAACATCTCGGCCGAATGGGCCCTGGACCTCAACCGAGCAAACCCACTCGGAACAGGCCCAAGTTAGCTTGGGCCAAACGTGCTCGGCCCTACCCAGTCCGACTTCCTCCACGGCCCAAAGCCAGATTATAAATCTCCCTCTCACCTTCCAACATCAAAATAAAAGTACTGTATTAACTATCATCTTCATCCTCTTCACGCTAAATCCTAATTAGTAAAGAGATAATAAATAAACAGAAAAAATAGAAATCATGTGCCTATATATTCACATTACTCCCTTAAATGCAAGTTCTACTTGTAACTTCATACAAATTGCTTTATTTAAATTAAAAATTGAAACTCTAAATACTAACCCAATGTCTCTCTTTTATTTTTTTGTGGATGTAAAAAGATGATAAGTAAGTTACACTAATCTCTCTTGAGATTTGAAAAAATATAAGAAGTCTCACAAGTTTAGTATAATTACACTAAGCTCACATAAAATTTAATTCATATAACACTTGGTCTTCTTTTCATCAGAAATTTGTTAGTTGTATAAATTAAAAAATAATATTATCATCTCTTTTACATTGAAATATATATTTTACCATGTGTACCTTTATATTTTCATACCATTTGCAATAGTTTTGATCTCTTTAAACTTCTTAAAAGAAAATTTCAGTATAATTATATTAAAATTATAGAGCTTATATTTTTTCTAAATCTCAAAGGAGCTCACTATAATTTACCAAAAGATAATAATGTCCTGGTTTTGACAACTTGGCAGGTGAACTTCCATTAGAGATGGGCAATCTTGTCAATTTGGAGGTATTGAATGCAGAAAGTGGTTCTCTTACAGTGCCTATTCCATCTTTTATCTTCAACATGTCTTCATTGAGAGTAATTTTTTTCATCGAGAGTAACTGATTTCAAAAACAATAGCCTATCTGGAAGCCTCCCATTGGACATTCAATATGATCTCCCTTTCCTTGAAGAACTACAACTTGATTCCAATAAGCTTTCTGGCCAATTTCCACCAAGCTTGTGGGAATGTAAATGGCTTCAAATATTATCATTGGAAAGTAATGATTTCACAGGAAGCATATCTAACAACATTGGGAACCTTACATTGCTAAGAGAATTACATCTTGGTTTCAACAAGTTGACAGGTACTTACCAAACTAAACTTGGTCTTTTCCTTACAAGTTTGCATAGTAAATCCGCAGCTGTTGTTTGGAAGCCACTAGGCCTCTTAAAAACCCAAGATTTAAATTTCACATTGTGTGGAGGTACATTACCAGAAGAAATTGGTAACCTTAATCTTGAGAGATTGTCTGTCTCTTTCACAGGCTTAACCGGCTTGATTCCCTCCCAAATCTTCAACATATCAACAGCAAGAATCATTAGCCTAAATGGGAATCAGCTCTCAGGCCATCTTCCATCAAGCCTTGGCCTCTGGCTTCCCAATCTTAAAGAGCTTTACCTAGGTGGAAATAAACTCAGTGGAACCATACCAAGCTCCATCTCCAATGCATCCAAACTTACCATCCTATTCATGACCTCCAACTCATTCACCGGCTCCATACCCAATACACTTGAAAATCTAAGACTCCTGCGCAGATTCTCTGTCTCTGAAAATAATCTTACCCGGGAATCTTCTTCTCTGGAATTAAATTTAATTACTTCTCTGGCAAATTGCAACAATTTGAAAGATTTGGGAATAGCGTGGAATCAATTCAATGGCATCCTCCCAGCTTCATTTGGGAATCTCTCCACTTCTCTTCAACAATTGGAAGCATTCGGATGCAAACTCAAGGGGGAAATTCCCGTTGGCATTGGCAACTTGAGCGGCTTGAATGTCATAAGTCTAGATGACAATGAGTTCACTGGCTTTATCCCTGCAACAATTGGAAGGTTAGAATGCCTTGACCGCTTGTATCTTGAACACAATAGGTTACAAGGCACCATCCCAAATGATCTTTGTATGTTGAAGAATTTGGGAGACTTGTATCAAAGTGACAATAAGCTAAATGGATCAATACCAACATGCTTGGGTGAACAAAAAACCCTGAGACATATCTACTTGGAATCCAACAATTTGAATTCCACAATACCTTTAACCTTGTGGAGCCTTAGAGATCTCCTCGGTCTAAACCTGTCCTCAAATTCTCTCACTGGTTACATACCACTAGATATTGGAAATTTGAGAGTCATAACAGAAATAGACTTATCATGGAATCAGTTATCAAGCGATATCCCAAGCACCATTGGAGGAGCCCAAACATTAGTTACTCTCTCCTTGGCACATAATAAACTACAAGGACCTATTCCTCAATCATTGGGCAAATTGATAAACTTGGAATTCTTGGATCTATCCCATAACAATTTGTCCAGAGACATTCCTCAATCACTAGAGGTACTCAGGTATCTTCAATATTTGAATCTCTCCTTCAATAACTTGCAAGGAGAAATTCCTACTGGAGGGCATTTCACAAACTTCACTGCTGAATCATTTATGCAAAACTCTGGGTTGTGTGGTGCACCTCAATTGCAAGTCCCGCCATGCAAAACTATTCACAAATCAAGAAAAAGTTTGGATTTACTGAAATATATCTTACCGTCAATTGCATTTGCAATACTTGTGGCAGCCTTTGTGTGGATAAGATGTCGAAAAGTCAATATGGCACTACCAATTCGAGTAGATTCAATGATTCATTCATGGAGACGATTTTCATATCAAGAACTTGTACGAGCAACAAATGCATTTAGTGAAAGCAACCTACTCGGTACAGGGAGTTTTGGTTCTATATATAAAGGAATCCTTTCAAATGGGATGAGTGTTGCTATCAAGGTTTTCAATTTGCAAACGGAAGGATCATTCAAGAGTTTCGACGCTGAATGTGAAGTTATGTGCAATATTCAACACAGAAACCTTCTTAAAATATTAGCAGTTGTAGTAACACGAATTTCAAAGCCCTAATCTTTGAGTACATGCCAAATGGGAGCCTTCAAAAATGGTTGTACTCTCACAATAATTTTTTGGATGTCTTGCAAAGGTTGAACATAATGATAGATGTTGCATTAGCAATGGAGCATCTACATCACGGTCTTACAACACCTATTGTTCACTGTGATTTGAAGCCCGACAATGTCTTGCTTGACGAGGATATGGTTGCACATGTTGGTGATTTTGGAATTGCAAAACTGTTTGGTGAAGGAGAGTATATAGCACAAACCAAGACCCTCGCCACAATTGGGTACATGGCACTAGGTGATTCTCGCTATTTATTGTTTCTCATTAATTCTTTTGGTTCACTAATTGGGAAGACATCCAAAAAAAATTAGGGAATAATTATTAAGACATCTATTGTCTAATAATCATTAGGCAATAGATTCCCTAATAATTGTAGTTGTATTCCCGATACATATTCTCACAATCTATGCCACAATGTGTCTAAATAGAGGATTTGATTGAGTATCGAGGGTTCGAGGAATTTAGGCCAATATACCAAATGAAAGTAGATCGATTAATACTACGATGATTGAGAGTATCGGCCGACACATCAAAGGTTAGATGATCCAGAGTATCAGTCAATACATATCAAGGATCATATTTTTTAAAAAAACTATTACCAACACTCTAAAACCAATTTTTTAAATTGCGGTTTGTGAACCGGACTGTTACATAATGCGTATTGGCATTACATATACCGCCTGATAAGGTACATAACGGCCACCTTTTAGGTTCACAATTTTCAATTTTTTCTTCTCTGGACTTAATTGAATTAATTGATATTATATTGATCATGAGTTGCAATGTGATGCATAGAGTATGGAATGGAAGGGATAGTCTCTGCAAAAGGTGATGTGTACAGTTACGGAATTATGTTGATGGAAGTATTCACAAGGAAGAAGCCGACAGGCAAAATGTTTGAAGGAGAAATGAGCTTGAAAAGTTGGGTAAGTGACATGATATTGCAGGGTCATGGTGGTTCAATACTTCTAGCTATGGACTCCAATTTGATAGGAAGTGAATCAGAAGATGTAAATTTCACTGTTAAGGAGCAATGTGTGTTGTTAGTCTTGAGTTTAGCCATGGACTGTTTGAAAGATCAGCCGAACGAGAGGATCAACATGAAGGATGCCTCAGCCAGACTCCGGAAAATTAGAACTGTGTTTCTAGCAAACAATGGAAAGGGCTTGAAAGGCAAAGATATATGTCAAGACTAACTGCTATCAAGTCTAGAAATAAATATTTTTCTATTTCTTTCTTTCGATTAGTTCGTAATTGTGTTCGTACATGATCTATGCTAATTAATACAATAAAGAAATACTTGGTACCATCCATGTTTTGGTGAAGTGTCAAGTCAATTTTTGCTCAACTAGAAAATGATAAAGATGAAAATTCATAACTAATGAAAGGTACATATGTAATAACAAAACTTGCACATTTTTCCAGTAATTTAACTCAATCACCGACATTTTGTGAGAATACCTCCTGCCCAACACTGGTAAACCCTCAAAAGAATGAGATGAATACCACCCTTCATTTAGTATGAAATAATTATCAAAGGGATTAGACATCTCTGAAGAACTACCACACCATGAAAAGCCATAACCAAGTGCTTGTGCTATCTCTGTGACTTCCTGCCTGTAAAGCCCTAGCTCATGTATAGCTGTCACTTTCATTCTTAAAATTAAGCACTCAAAATCATCATCAATGATTTAAGCATGCAGATACCAATAGGTAAACATCATCCCGATGTAAAATTCATCCAAAACATAAATTGTGTTAACTTAATGACTTCTCCAGTTTGTGTTGCCTTCCCTGACCGGAAAAGTAAAACTGTTGGTTGATTATCATTTAAGAAAACAATCAACAACTTTTGCCTGCATTCTTTAAGAAAGAGTGAACCATGAAAAATTGACACAATCTAAAAGCTTTCATATAAATCTACCTGTTGATTATACAATAGTCTCAAAGCCCCAACATGGCAAATTAAAGAAGAAAAAGTCTAGGAACACAAAAATCAATCACACATGAGGTGGATTCCAACTTTTTGTCGATCCCACCTCATGTGAGTGAGTTGTGTTTGGTTTAGTGATTGGTTTTTGTACAAGTAAAAAAACTGATTAAAGAAAACCACCATAGACAAGTTACTACTACAAGAGTCAGACTACGAGCCAGCTTCCTGCCTGCCTTTGGTACCTGGAGACCAAAATGCAATGGAAAGTATCAGACAAACTCGGTAGTAAGAAAATTTGTAACTTTATAGTCATAACAGAAATATAATATGCAAATTTCTCATCCAAAGGGAATAAATGAATAAAGGTTCAGATGGAATTCTCAACCATCAAAACTTTCTTTTGTGTTTTGTCCCCTCTTCATTTGTGGCAGTGAGGCATCTACATCAATGCAAATGCTTGTCATTCCACTTAATACTAGGGTATAGTAGGCAGTTAGAGCATCTCTATCAGTGTGCTATCCTCCATGCCAACGCTAAAATTTGGCAACAACTCTTCCAAACTAATCTCCAATTGACTGCTATCTTCCATGCCAAATTATAGCAATGCCAAATAACATTTATATCTCTCTCATGATAGGGCCCACAAATAATATTTAGAATTGACATTTTGTAATGAAAATACATTTCACCGTTAGAACAACATTGCTAAATTATGACATTTTGGCACTCTGTATCCTGTCAAATTTTGGAGCTGGTATTGCCATTTTGATACCAGCCTTTGGACATGTCCATATCCGAGTACATGCTCAGTAATCAACATCGTTTGCCTCTGGAAAGAAATCAAATTTATATTGAGCAAAAACAATGATTAATTTTAAATTTCATGTAAATATGCATTAGAGAATTATCAGTATTACCCACCAGATATAACAACTCTCACAGAAATTTCATATCCATGGTGTGCTGTAGTAAAAACATGTCACATGGGTTGTCCTTTTTCCACTTTTTTCCCAGAGATAAGCAATGTAGGTCATTAACAAGAAAAGAAAACATTAAAAAAAATAAAAATGTGTATTCAATAAAAAAGTTGTGCATAGAAAAAGGCAACGATCAAGTTAGAATACATATATAATAATTGCACTATAAAAGTTGATAGATATATAAGCTACAGAATACCCCTTTCTACCCATTTCCAGTATAACGTGGCAGTGAAACTATACATACATGCAAGTAAGTTCATATTGCTCAGCAAATTATCAAGTTCAAAATATATTTGTGTTATTTGTTAAAGAACGCTAAAGAGAAAATGTTAACTTGACATAGGTACCGAAACATCCTAGTAGAGTTAAACAATTACAACAATAAGAAAGAAAAACAAGCATCCAAAAACAACTAAACCCTTGTGGTAGAACATGTTGCCTTATTGTTTCATTAAAAAGTCAGCCCCAGGATGGACAAGCTTTGGGTTTGAAGTACAGAGGGGCAAATCCAGCTCTCTCTACAAGTGGAGGGAGGGGAGTCATATTTGAGACCTTGCACAATATGGTTTAACCAAGAAGGATTTGTGGCCAACACAAGTTCTTAGGATAAGGCTTAATTAAAAGCGACCCAATATTTTCAGAGCATCATTTACAAATCTGATCATTGTGTTGCCGTGCAGCTTCTAATTTGATAAAGTCAAAAAGACCACTTATTCATAAAGAACATGCTTCAACAACTGGAGCTCTTTGGTATTCAACATCAAGGCCATCAAGTAGTTTTGTGTAAGGGCAAGTAAAAGAAACATCCGACAAATTTTTCACACCTTCAGTTTCTTTGAACATTTGACTGCCATTATCTTCTGCGCAACCAACATCATCAAAGCCACTCTCCACAGGATCTTTCATATGGATTATCTTACCAAACAACTGGAACGAACCCAAACCAGCTTCTGTTAAGGAGTTGCGGCCCTGTTTTTGAGCTAGCTCATTGCCATAGAAATGCACACTGCTCTGACTATCGGGTGACAAATTGTCCTGCTAACTGCCAATGTTCAGCTCAGTAGACACAGTTCTCACCTTTGGTGTCATGTTGTTGCCAAAAAATTTATCTTTGCACATCTGATGGGTATTTTCACTTATCAAGTTGGATAAACTTGATGCAAAAAATGTATCTTGCCTGGCTCCCTGCATGCCAGCAGGAAAAGAATTGTAATTCATCAATGATGGCTTCAAGTACCCTATCATTGAATTACTTAGTCCTGGTATAGGAATGAAGAGGTCTCCCTTTCCATCAGTTGGTAACCCAGGATTCTGAGGAAATCTGAATTTCTTTGCTGGAGGGAATGTGGAATGGAGCAGTGGTGTGGGCTCGACATACTCAATTTGCCAAGGGCTGACCCTCTTCACATTCTGCAGAACTTCAGGTTCATCCCATGTAACCTGTGGCAGGGAGGATTATAACAACTTCAGGCTAGTTAAGAAGGTGTAAATAGTATCCTCCCAAAGAAGGGGGAGGGATGGTTTTTAATAAAAGCAGCATCACAGCATGTTCATTTAAATATTTCTCAGAAATTAAAATTTAAATTGGATGAACTCTTTGTAACTTAATATTTGAGTGAGAGAGAGAGAGAGAGGCTTCCCCAATTCTGTATTTACTGACAATAAGAGTAAGACTTGGCATATTCCCGCAACTGCAAAGAAAATGTGACATACTGATATATGACACACGAACTATTTTTTGCCAGCCATTGATATGTCACACGTATACATTTAACATTAAATCACATGGGCACAAGATTTATAAACCATGGATGGAACAGGTCAAGACACACATGCACATGGGCACAAGATAATGTTTATCTGGCCTCCTTAAACATTAGAATTTGCTCTTGCTACCTTTATTTGTCTTCACATAGCCAACGGCATAAATCATACCTAAAACTGATTATGAGCTAATAGTTTACATGATATGCTGTTTACAATTATGCTTTCATTTGGATGGCAAATAATGGGAGATTGCAAATAGACCACACTACCGGGAGTAAGATCCCAGCAACATCATAACCAATGCTATTCCATTCAACCATTCATGAATCTTGTCCTTGAACCGCAATTTTCCAACTACTCTGGGAATACATATATTTTTTCATAGAGAAAGAGTGAGAAAGGAGCCTTTGCTTTCTTCACTTACTAGGCTGTTCAAAATAATTGATTACCTTAAAAAATTTACACACATTTAGGTCTGCTCAACCCAACTTTCAAATTTGGATATGCCAAATTGCCAAATTTTTTTGAAGGCTTATGTGTCAACTTGACATTTATAAAAATAAGCACTCCACCCAATATGTCAAATTTATTAATTTATTATATTTTTTACTTTGATGTAACAACTTTCATATTAAATGTTTGGGGGGGAAAGACGCATTATATGGGTCCCACATATTAAACGAATTAAAAAAATAAGACTAGCATCTCCTTCCTCATATGTCAAGTTTGACATAGGAGAGGGAAAGCCAAATGCCACATAGATATTTAGCATTATGGTCGGAGCTTTTTCATGTCATTTTTTACTATTTCACATGCCACTTAAGAAAACACATATCCATTGGAGATGTTCTAAGGGACTTGACTTCTTGGCTTATCAAAACTGACGTCTACAAGGTACGTTGTTCTATCTAAAAGACTTGTGCATTTTGTAGACATCTCATTTTTGACCGGCCTTAAGACTTGAGTAGCCCCAAAGTGATTCCTCGATGATGAAACAAAAAAGGATCTCAAGTTATCCTCAAGCAAGTCTTTCGAATGGAGGAGATTCCTAGCCTCATACCCCTTTTTGGCCAAAACGTTTTCGGAACCCTAAAATCTATTTTCAAAAATATTTTTTAAGGCAATGGGAACTTTTTCATTCATTTTGGCCTTTCTTAAAATTGTGTTTTCAAAAAATGTTTGATCCGCTTTTCAAAAGAGTTAGCATAGAAAGCCAAAATAAATGAGAAAATAGGGGAAACCTTTCAAGAAAATTTGCCTAATAAGGCTAGGTCGGCCGGACAACTTCCATGCAACACACTGAACAACTTTGGTCCGTGGAAGCGTGTCCAGGCCTTTTCTGATTTAGTGTGCAAATTTTTAAGGAAATAGGCCGGATCATTCTACACCGGCTAGACAAGTCTTATCCAGTGCAACCTATTTTGACGTCCGCGAAACAGCTTTCTTGTGAGGTGTCCCAAGGATCTTGGAATATGCCATCCGGATCCATAGAATCTAGAGGCATATTCCAAACCCC